TTATTATTATTGTTGTTATATTATTATTATTATTATTATTATTATTATTATTATTATTATTATCATTATTAAATTACTATTGTTGTTGTTGTTGTTATTATTATTATTATTATTATTTTATTATTTGTTGAATGGGAACTAGATTCTAGATCTGATTTGACTTGCTCCTCTTGTTCAGTTCGTAACGTATAAAACGGTACCGAACATCTATGTGTTTTGATCTTCGATGGTTCACAGGGTTGTTGGCTAGGGCAATTGCGGTTGTCCTCAAAGACCACAGGCAAATTATCTTTAATTAAGACTAATTCCTATATCATAAAGAAACTGACTGAGATACAAAACCTCCTGCACTGCGGCTGTGAGAGCAATATATTCAGCCTCGCAGGTTGACAGAGCCACGACTGGCTGTTTCCTTGATTTCCATGAAATCAGAGGACCTTCTTGTGTCAAACCAAAACAGGAACCTGATGTGCTGCGTCTATCTTCAACACTGGATGCCCAATCAGAGTCAGTATACCCAATGAGCCTCAGGCCTTTTTTACTCTTTCTGAAGCACATCTCATAGTGTGCAGTTCCCTCCAGGTACCCCAACGCATGTTTCAGTGCTATCCAGTGACACTGGAGGGGGTTCGACAAGAATTGAGAAAGTTTGGTAACACCCCAGGAAATAATGTATCAGGTCGAGTACACAACATCAGGTAAATTAGACTTCCAACAATCTCTCGATACCTATGGGAATCAACAGGTTCACTCTCATTCCATTCTAGGTTCTGTTCTTATGGAATACCATCATGTTTGGTATAAATACAATTTTCAGAACGTACTCTACAAAGTCATTCTGTTCTAAAAACTTGTGCAACATTTGGTTCCAATTGCTGCCAGACTGTTTCAACCCATACAAAGATCTGTTCAATTTGTACACCATTTTCTGTCCACTTTCATTTTTTACTCCAAAGCCTTCTGGCTGTTCCACATAGATGTCATACTCCGTGGGAGCGTTTAAGTAGGCTATGCTGTCTCCACATCCATCTGAGGCAAAGTTAAATCATAATGTGCAGCGATCTATGAATGAAAGTCTTTCAAAGTCGGAAGTTATGTCCCTTAGAGCAGGCCTAACATGAGGGGCCGTTGCTTGCCCACCAATGTATCCAGAGTGGTAGCTTTTTACGCTACATTTTTCTGCAACGTTTTGTCGTTTTGATCAATCACCAACACTTTTCTCTCGTGACAGCCATCTTCGCTTAAAGTTTAAAATGTTTTTAAGGCATCATTTTGCAATCATATTATAATTACATGCAATCCTACTAATTTTTGTGTTTTATTTAAGTCCATAATAGTTAATGATATGGTCACCTTGCGACTTTTACCAGAGGTTTGGCTGGCTTTTTCCTATAACACTGGGACATCACACAGATCGAAGCAGAAGTGTAAACAAACCCTCGGGTCGACTGAAGGACCTATCATTGATAGTATCAACTGTAACAACTCGATCATTTTAGATTGTCTAGGCCTGTGGGTCACCTTCGTGTTTGACGATCTCACTTCTCAGGCGTAGAGCACCAGGGCACATGTGCGTGACTAAAAAGACAATAGATTCTACTCAAGACTCTAGATTATAGATCTAGATCTAGATCTAGATTAGGCGATATAATTAGACTTCTAGATCAGCCTATGTACGGCATACCGTCACCTTAGTGTTTTGTGATGACTATTTCCGGAAGTGAACTTTTGTATTATCATAACTTCGGCTCTTTCAAAAACATCGACCCAAAATTTCGTTTTGTTGAGAGGCCAGCCTTTCCTGTAGGTGTGGGGTGAAGATTTTAGTCAGATAGTGTA